TTATAAAAAACAAAGTTGGAGGCATCACCTTCCTTGATTTCAAACTATATTACAAAGGTAGAGTAACCAAAACAGTGTGGTGTTGGCATAAAAACAGACATATAGACCTGGGAACAGGATAGACAGCACAGAAAAAAGTGCATTCATTGTAGGGAACAGGGGAAGGGGATGTTACCAGAACCTCTGCAGCGAGTCCTGGTCTCCTGCAAGCCACGGCAGCACATGGCGAATTACAGGAAAGGTAGAAAAATGAGACTGAGAAGCTGAGCTTTGGGTCTGATCAGTGCTGCTCTGGGCAGCAAAGATGAAAGCCCCCACCTTACCGCACCTTTTATTCAGTACATGAGGAGAAACAGATGTAACAAATGACTTGCAGAGAGTTCAGTACATCCTGCATAAATAATATGTAACAATCCAAGAACAAGGAGGAACTGAGTAGATGTTTGTTCCTCCCAGGATGTTTTCAGCTCCCAAGATGTTTCTTGTCCTGGAGAATCAGACAGCATCACTGGATCACTGAGGTCTCAATTGTGACCAGAGGCCAAAATGCAATTATGTCTTGGAATTCCATAGCTGGGCTGTAGGCAGGAGAACTAGGCTAACCAAATGATTTTTCCCTAAAATTATGTAGCATTGCTCCTGACAATTCATATGTGGTCAATTAATTTTTGACAAAGGCACCACAAATTCACAATGAGGAAAGGATAATTTTTTCAATAAACGGTGCTGGGAAAACTGGATATCCTCAAGCTAAAAAATAAGACTGAACCTACAGACAGAAAGTATTTGCAAACCATATATCTGATGAGACTGATATTTAAAATATGTAATGAGCTGGGCATGGTGGCACATGCCTGTAATCCCAGCACTCAGGAGGCTGAGGCAGGAGCATCACTGTGAGTTCAAGGCCAGCCTGAGCTACACAGTGAGTTCAAGGCCAGCCTGAACTACATAGTGAGACCCTGTCTCAAAACAAAACAAAACATGTAATGAACTCACACAACTCAATAAACAAAGAAACAAATAACAATTACTCAACTAAAAAATGGGCAAAGTATCTGAATGCATACACATTTTCCCAAAGATATACAAATGGCCAAGAAGTATGAAAAGTGTTAAAGATCAGAGAAATGCAAGAAGTGTTAAAGGTCAACAGAGAAATGCAAATCAAAAACATGAGATTCCCGGGCCGGGGATTTAGCTCAGTGGTTTCGCTGCCTGCTGTACAAGCACAAGGACCCGAGTTCGATCCCCAGTACCAAAACATGAGATTCCTCTCACATGCACCTGTTAGAATGGCTGCTATCAAAAAGACAAAAGATAAAATACATTGGTGATGACAGGTATGGTGGTGACACTTTTAATCCCAGAACTCTGGGGGCTGAAGCAGGGTGACAGTGTGGGCAAATTAGCAACTTAACGAGAAGCTGATCCAAATTAAAAATTAGATAGATAGAGATTGATTTGGAGATGTTGCTCAGTTCAAGGGCTATGGGTTCAATCGCTAGTACTGGAAAAAAATGTTGGTGAGGATAGGAAGAGAGGGGAAACTTTCTACATTGTTACTATGTATGTAAATTGGTAGAGCCATTGTGGGAAATAGTGTGAAGTTCTTGAAAAAATTAAAAATAGAACTACCCTATTATCCTTCAGATATGTTCTTCTATGTAATGAAATCAGTGTCTTGAAGTGGTATCTGTACTCCCATATTTTTTGTAGTCTTATTCACAAGAGCCAACATATAGAAAAACCCTAAATGTCTGTTGATTCATGAATGGATAAAACAAAGGTATATGAGTGTCTTAGTCACTTTTCTAGTTTCTTTTTTGTTTTTTGGTACCGGGGATTGAACTCAGGACCTTGTGCATTCGAGGCAGGTGGCAGCGCCACTGAGCTAAATCCCCAGCCCTACTTTTCTAGTTTCTGAGACACAGTAACTGACACCCACAACTTAAAGGAGGAGAGATTTATCCTGGCTCAGTTTATAGTTTTCAGTCCCTTAGTTGGCTGGCTCCAAGGCAGAATGCATTGGAGAAAGGGCCTGAGCAGAGAAAAGCTGCTCACTTATGGCATCCAGAAAGCAGACAGCATGAAGGGAGGAACTAGGGAGATAAACCCTTCCAGGTCAGCGCCCCACTGATCTGCCTCTTCTAACCAGCCTCCAACTCCTAACATCATATTTATCTATAAGTTCCCCATAATCCATTCACCTTTCAAAAGCCCTATCTTAGAGAACTTGGGGCTTTGGGGAGACATCCATATTTAAACTATAACAATGAAGCATGATTGAAAAATATGGTATGTATGCATGTATGTATGTATTTTCTTAATTCTTTTTATGTCTCTTCCTATCTCTTGGTTCCCTTCCCATTGTGAATGTTTAAATTAGAAAGTATTATTACATTAAAAGACACATTGCTATTATAAATCTCCCTCAAAATATTCTCCCTTATTTTGAGCACACTTATTTCATTATCTTGCCACTTTTGAAAGGAGTTCTGGAAGTCCTCTTTTGTGTTTTTGGATGGGCTGCTATGGCTGCCTCAATGTACTGAACTGATTCAAAATGTTTACCTTTTGTGGTCATTTTGACTTTGGGGATGAGCCAGACATTGTACAGTGCCAGATTCAGTCAGTAAGGTAGATGAGGACACACTATGTTTTTATGAGCCTGCTTTTCTTTAGATGTCTGGCAGCAGGATTCACCATATTTTTGATTATACCTTGTAAAGACCTCATATATTTCATCTTGTATTTTGATCACACCCTGTCGCACGTATGTATAATGGAATTTTATTCAAACATAAAGGAAATTCTGTGGCAAAATGGATGGACCTGGAGGATATTACACTAAGTAAACTAAGTTAAATACAGAAAAACAAATACTTTACAACATTCAAACTCAGAAAAAGAAAACAGTGGTTGCCAGGGGCTGAGAGCTAGGGGAAATAGGATGATGTTAATGAAAGGTTGCAAGCTTTCTTTTTCCTTTTTGGTGTTGGGGGATGGAACACTGGGCTTTGTGCATGCTAAGCACACATTCAACTATGGAGCTATATCCCCCAGGTTTGGGACCAAATTTTCAGTTATAATACGAGCAAGTTCTGGGGATCTAATGCACACAATGGGTGGCAATGGATGTGTAAAAAAAAAGGAAACAGAAATTGGACTATTGGAATAATGCAGAGCTTTGCCTGAAGAAGTCAATGAATAAATACTTCATGAAGACATTTCGCTTTTGGGTGTCTTGGAATCTGTATAGTTGTTTTCTGCCTGTGGTCTGGTTATAAATTATTTCAGGAAATTGGAATATGAAATGTGTGGGAAACTAATCTGACATTCTTGACAATTGTTATCAGCATTGAAGTCCCTGGAGAGAAAGAACATTTCTTTTGTCTTGGTTACTTAGTAATACAGCTTAGTCCTGTTCCTGCACTCAGTATCATGTTTATTATAAAGCTCACCCAGGGAATTGAATGTGGTATGGATGTAGCCTATTCTTCATTTAATAAGCATGTATCATGCTCCTCTTGTCAAAAGCCATTCTACATACTTTTGGGAGTCAATCATTTCATAATTAAAGTATGACTACAGCTAAGGCCCAATGTCACCTTGCTCTTGAGGTGGCTATGGCATGCAGAAATGTAAAGCTCCGTTTTGCCTCTGGTCACAAGTTCAGGCCTCAATGGTCTGGTGATACTGGGACACTCAAGGGCAAGAGTACATCAGCTGAAGACCTCCTGGTTCTTTTCCCTTTTTTTTTGGTACCGGGGATCAAACTTGGGTCCTTGTGCTTGTGCAGCAGGTGGTGAAACCACTGAGCTAAATCCCTGGCCCAGACCTCCAGGTTCTTTGAGAACTGAGTAGTAATAAAAAAGACAAAGGTTTCACCTGGGGGAAGGACAACTTCTTTATTAGCCTGCTATCTTGTCCCACCTATTGTAAGAATGCTGTCCTTACTGCCTTCATCAAGGTAAGATCCTCAGCAACCTAAGTTCCTCATCAATGTAGGATTAACGGTGCCCCCTAAGTCACCTGATACTCCCTCCAATTATTATGTGCACCTAATAATGGCTATATCGGAGTATCTTTGTCTTTGCCCACTCTGAAGCACTGACCTCCCAGGCCCTCATGCCCTTTGAAATTATGCATCTCTTTAATCTTTCCTTAGCCCTTGGTGTCCCCCTTTCTAGTCAGTCAGAGGACTGATCACCCTTCGATACCTATGGTATATCAGGCTTTATAGTAGTTATCAAGAATGATAACCAAAGCCAAGAGTGTGGTAGTGGTAGCACATGTCTGTAATCCCAACATTCAGGAGGCTGAGGCAGGAGAATCACTGTATGAGGCTAGCCTAACCTATACAGTGAGACCTCGTCTCAAACAAAAGGTGACTTCTGAACACAGATTTGAATGACAAGTAGGAGTTGACAAGAGTGTTATAACAGAGGGAACAGCAATTCAATGCATAACATGATAGAGAACAAGTTTCCTATGAAGGGTGGCACCAAATAATTGTAGAAGAGGTTGAGGGGGATCAGGCCACGGATGGCATTTGTGTCATGAAATGTCTAAATTTTATCCAGTGAGGCAATGGTTAGTCACTGAAATTCTGAGTTGAGACCAGAAACAGCAGGTTAATCTATTAGTGGCTTGTATAATCAATGTAAATTGGGAACAGCATTTTAAGGAGATGAACCAGAAAAGAGTACAAAGTATTAGTGTGCATATTTGTAAAGGTAAACAATGTTTCGTGAAGCATAATTGCTTCAATTATATATAAATATTGTGATGTAAATGTTTTTTGGTCTGAGTCATAGTAAACATTTTTTTGAGAAACATTAAAGCTTCAGTGGTATACCAGTTGATGTATCAGGTTACTCTGGTAGCAATTAACAGAAACCACAGGCTCAAATGGCAAAGTACACTAAGGAATTTATTATTTCAATATAAGTAGGATTCCTAAGTTTGAGAATCCTATGTACTTCTAGTTTTTGCAATTTTTCAGTGTTATTTTCATATTAAGGCCAATTCCCCAGTAGTACTCAGAATAATATGCCAACGTACTCTTACCCAGAACAAAACATGGATCCTGAATCCATCAACAGCCAGGAGATGGAAACAGTGCCTGCTTTAGGTTAATCTGGGATGGATATTTAGGAATCTGATCCACTGTTGGAACTCTAATGGAATGTGTTAATTTCAGTGTATCATAGAAATACTTTAGGGTTATCTAGTTTGACAAAGTAATGAACTTAGTGGTGGTGGACTTATGGCATGTGTGCCACAGTGGGCTGTTATCAAAGTTCTAAAAGGTTTCTCATCACTAAATTTAGGGTTAGGGAAAAGTCAGATGACCAATTAAGTTTGTGTACTAATTAGGCAGGGAAAAAGTAGGAAGGGATGCTGGATAGTATAGACTGCAAGAACCAATGGTGGTAATGGGAGGTATGAACAGGAACCAACCAAAATGACTTCCGAAGCATAAAACTAGAAGCAAGGTACAAAGATAGAGTATGGTGCAGATGTATGGTCAAGGAGGAGGGTTCTAGAAGAAATCTAAACTCTGTTTCATAGGATGTGGGCCACTAAAGATGACCAAGGAATTAAGATAATCAGGTTTCTATTACCATAGCTGCAATGCAGAAAGGGAAATTGGGGGGCTGTTGTAACCCAGAATTTCATTTAGGGAGACAGGTAACAGCAATTTGACCTAATTCTACTGAAGATAAATTAAGTGAACTGTCTTTTGCTTTTGCTTTTCTAATTGTAGATATTGGGCTAGGGTGAGGGAAGCACTACTTCGTCAGCCTTATTGAAAAGAACTCCCAGATGAACCGCCTCTAGTTGCTAAAATTGTTTTGGGCCTCTGCTGGCTTTGGAATTTACTTAAGTGGTGCCTAGATGGACTTGAGGGCATATTCCACCAACTGAGGTGAGGTTAGAATTCTCGGTACACTGTTAACCATTTCCCTTGTTATCCTTGAGACTTTAGTGAATGTTTCAGGATTAATGTCTTATTTGGGCCCAAATTTTAAAGGTGATGTAGTGTCCCATTATTAACTCTTTGATGGCAGGACCTGACTTATGGGAAATATTTGATAAATATGGTATCCTCAGTACCTAAAATGATGTGGGGACTGGCAGATACTTAAAAAAAGAAAAAAAAAATACCTTGGGAACCATGAAGAGTCCCAAAATGAAATATATTTTGGTTAAGAGGAAATGTCATGGCAGTCCAGCCACAATTTACCTGTTCTCAAGACTTACAGATACGTTTTTAATTTTAAGGGAACTGTTTTCTTTAGGCATCAGGGATGATTCTCAGATATCTAGCTGGGGTGAATATTCATGTTAAGACTGGAAGAGTAGTGAATTTTTTGAGAGAAACATTTAGTGCAAAAGTTTTTGTGTCTATGGTGCTCAAACTTTAATGTAAGGCTCTTTCATACTACTGTGAAGGATAAATTCAAGTACAGTAAGGGAGAATGAGCCCTATGGAGATGAGTGTCAGACTAAGGCTGTTGTGGCAGAATAGCACTGTAACAGTTCTGTCACTAAAGCTCATGTCTGTTAGACTAGTGACTGTTCTACCCTCACCCTTACTAAGGTACAGCCTGAGACAAAAATCTCTTCTTCCCACTCTACTGGAAACATGGTAACTATTAGGCTGTGTTATATCATGATCAGGCCAAGGGTGACAACATCAGATCTTCTTGTGACTATCACTCTAGTTAGTCCTTGAATCTTAAGGGAGTGGTAGCCTGGCTGGACTAAGCCTGGCTTCATTTGCTATAATTAGTGGATTAAAAAAAGAGCTCCTGGTGTTTCACATGCTCAGCCATTCTGAAACCGGATTTCCCTTTTTTAAGTTCCCATGGAGGCCCATTTTGACAACAATAAAAATTTTCAGGAAATCCCCAGCAAGTTGAACTTTCTAATGTTTCCCTCACTACAACCCTCTCCATACCAAGAGGAAGGAGCTCATCCGGAAGGCCAGCATCCTTTGTCAGATACCTCCACTTTTTCAGTCAAGGTAGTAGTATATCAGAGTTCTTAGGTCCTCCTTTAAAACCTAGAGGTTGAGAGCACATGAAGGTAATGTGTGATCCAGCCTGGAAACAGAGGAATGGTTGCAGTGTCCCCCAAAGGTGCCTTGGATATGGATTAAACAAGTTTTATTGCCAGATGTTCATCCCCCCCCCCCCCCAGCAGGAAGCAGTCTTTTTCCAAGAAATCCTAGAGGCTGAGTCCTATGCTGGATATCAAAATACAATCATGTCAGGGAACAAGTCTGGGATACAGGAATCATGCCCCATCTAAATTGGTACTAAGAAAAACAACTACACTAACCAAACACAATCCAGATCTAAGAACCAGAAACATAAACCATGAATTTACTATCCTAGGTAGACTGAGCATTTAGATGGTTCTCATTTTTCCAGAAACCCTAAGGGAATTAAAAAAAAACATTTTACATATATTCAAGGTAAGGAATTTTATCTTTTGTGCAAAGAGAGGGACATCTGGCTCCCCAGAAGGTTCTGAGCCCCATTAAGACTGTTCATTTTACAACTTTAGCTCTAGTTCTCAGACATTCAAAGAACTCCATAGGCCAGTCATCATGGCGACTGAAGAAAACCAGAGTCCAGTTCCAGTTAAATCCTTGGTGTTTGAACTGTATGGGAGCTGTGGAGACTTTTTTCTTGGTTCTTTTGGAGGTCCTGCCGAAGCCCCTGGAGCAGCTGGTTTAGGAGTGTAAAGTTGCTGTCTTTTCGAGGTAGAGGCAGAGGTGGGAGGCAATTCCCTTTATATTCGATCACTGCCATCTTTGCCCGATCCTGTTCACTCCGATTTGGAATCTGCACCATCCTTGTGTAGCCCCCATTCTGACCTTGGTACCGAGGGGCCAGTACTTTAAATAGCTTTGGGATCAAGTCTTTCTCCTACAGGACAAGAATTATTCAGCAGAGAGCAGAGTCAGGAACAATTGCAGGAGCATTTAATCACTGGAAAAGATAGGGTCCAAACCCACGTAGATAGGCCCCACTCCCTAATATAGTAAAAATTACAAAGAAGGATCACTTATAGGTAATAAATGTGCAGATTTATATGCACATCGAATTCAATTATAAAACATGATTCTTATTTAATTCACAACACTAGTCCACCAGTAAGTGCCCTAGCTTAAATCTCACAGGAAGCAGAGGGTTCGCTTTGGGAGGAGGGCTAGGGGAACTCACGGTGAGCCAGAAGTCAGCCATTCGCATGGCTCGTTCGTTGGTGTCTCCCAATTTTCCATAGTCGATGAGCTGTGAGGTCAAAACAAAACGAATGGATCCAACCAGAGCAAAAAACTTGGTGTTAATCTTCTACAGCAGGACCTCAATTCCTTCATTCCACTAGCAAAGCTTCTAATCCTAGAAACTGGCCTGACCTCTAAACTGTCGTTCACCTAAGGCGCAAGAGGAGTGGGCTCAGCTTAGAACACAGTGCTGCGGCACCCAGTTCCTAAACGCAGCCCGTCCCGCCCCCCACAAGGCCCTGCAGCTCCTCACCTTCTCCGCGTAGCCCCGCATCTCGTCCACACGCGCCCATGACGCCTCGATGCGTTCGTGTCGCACCAGTCCGGTGAGCAAGTTTCTCAACAGGTGGATACGGGACTCGGGACCAAGGCCCAGGCGGCGGTATACGCGGCCGTGGGAAATGGCGGACGCCACTGACAGCCGCATGTTCGCAGAGTCCTCCAGCCCCTTGGGGCCGGAAGTGGAAACTCTCAGGCAAGACCCGGCGGAGGCGATTTCACGAGACGCATGCGTTGTAGTTCGGTGCGTGGTGGACGTGTTTGCGCATGAGTATGAGAGCCTGCCTTGTTGGCAGTCTGAGGAGGGCGGAGAAGGGGTGTTGACATTTTGCAAAGGCAGCGAGCTGGGAGCCTTCGAGCACCGCTAGCGCTTCACTGCGGGCCAGGGAACTTGGCGCCCTCTACCGGCATCGGGAGGCCAGCGGGTTTCTCTTGTGCTGCGTCGGCGGGCTTGTGGCGTTTAGGGCTGTGGTACGCTCGCCGCGGAGCCTACTGGGAAAGTGAGTAGGAGCGCAGGAGGGGCGCCTGCGGGGATGGTGCCACCGAGCAGTGGCGAGATGAAGTGTGGGACACCCAGGAGCGACGTTTTTAAAGTTTTTAGTGGTAATGGTGAAATGAATAATAATGCTCAGAAAAGGAACTCAGGTAATAAACATTTTGTTTTACTGACGAAAGTAAAAATTTCACTTTAAAATTCTAGCACTAAAAGAAAAAAAAGGTCAGTATTTTAGTCACACTAAAATTTTTTTTTTGAGCCAGGTTGTAGCTGTGCAGCTCAGTTTGGCCTCGAACTCGCGGGGATCCTCCTGACTCAGCCTCCCAAGTGCTGGGATTACAGACGTATGCCACCATGCCTGGCAAGTTATATAAATGTACTTTTTGAAAAACGGGAAAACATGCTCCTGTATTTACGTGCTAAGTATTAATCAATATCGTCATTGTTTTAGAGCTTTAACATCTGCACGTTTACAGTGATTCTCATAATTGCTTCTTGTTATGGATTGAATTGAGTGCTCCATCTCCAAAGATAAGTTAAATCTTAACCTGCTGTGACCTCAGAAGGTGATCGTAGAAAACAGGCAAGGGTTGGGCCGGGGATTTAGCTCAGTGGTGCCGCTGCCTGCCTCTATCTTTACTTTTAAGTGACCAAAGAATAAAAAAAGTTTCTTTCATATGAAGCAACAGTTTTACAAATAAGGAAATTTACATACATGTGTATATGTTGGTGGAAATTTATACAAATCACAAAAACAGTAAATTTCACAATTTCACTCCTATCTCCTTTCTTTGGGAACAATTCCTGCAGCTTTCAATTTTCTGTGTAACTGGCACTGCAAAATGGAACTTTAAAAGTTAGATTTTTTTTTTCCTTTAGAGACAGTGGCTTCTCCAAACTTTCTCAGGTCTGTGATATAAATGGCTGTCCCCAGTTTTTAGCCCAGAAGACTATGCAGATGCTGGGACCAGGAGGTCAAGTCTGGTTTCATTCCCTCAGGCTGGAAGGGAGAGGTCCAGGTCCAGGAAGGAATGGTTCAGCCAGAATATGTGTATTGGCTCATTGTATTCCCTTCCCCACTGTGCCTTGCTGTAAGAGACTCCAGCAGGTCCCAGGTGAGATGGTGATTTGAGGTAAATGGGCCCCTCCATCTCCTCAGAGATAGCTTTGAATTAATCCCATTTTCTTTTTACCAAAATAAATGGCTTCCTTTGATCTGGTGAGTGACAAACAAATGAACCTCAATATATGAAACTCAGTGGCCCCAGTAGAAAATTTTTACTGAGGTATTTTCATCGGAAAACAATTTATAAATTTCTGTTGGTAAAACCTTATGAAGGTTTCTTTTGTAAAATGGACGTTGACGTTATTTGAATCATTGTTTAAAAAATGTGCCCTCTTGGTGAAAACAATTGAAATGTCAAACATTGTCCTTTTGAATTTTTCTGGAAATATAAGATCATTATCTCTTGTTTTTTCTAGTAGTCTTCAAAATTTGATTCATTTTTCTTGTCATTTTCCTTATATTTTGTTACTGCAGTTCCTGGCTTTCTCCACAGTTTCTGTGGGCTGATACTCAAAGGACAATTTTAAACCTTGATGTTTTCTTGTATGTTATCAACCTTATTTGCAGATATTGTGTCTGATTATTTAAAAAACACTGTGCAACTGAGATTATTTAAGTCTACTGGCTTACAAGCAGGGATATATTGTACTCCAAGGGTTGGAGTCATGAAATACACATGAAGTAAACTTGAAAGATGACCAACTCTTATGAATTTATTGTTAACAGTAGTATGTATGGCAGAGTTTGTGTAAATGATAGTTCTTCAAAATAATGTTTTTGTAGAATGAAGTATTGTTAGGAGATAATTTCAAGCCTACATACATATTATTATGATTATTATAATACAGTAATCATAGTAATAATTTAGACCTACAAAAGATTTCTTTGCTAAGGTTGTTGTATCACTAACATTGTCTAGAATTATTGTACATATGATAATAGAAAATGAATTGACTTGTAGTTTTGTTACTACTTTAAAATTCTTTTTTTCTTTTTTTTGGTACCGGGGATCGAATTCAGGTCCTTGCGCTTGTGCAGCAGGCAGCGAAACCACTGAGCTAAATCCCTAGCCCTAAAATTCTTTATAGATAACTTGCCTGTTTATTTTTGTGCTCAAGGAAGACTGCTCTTACCTGTCAACTCTTGTTACCCACTGATTCCAAGTGTGAACAGAGTCCCCAAGGAATAGTACTCAGAGTGAATCTGAATATTCCTGGGTGATCTAGGACTTGGAGTAAGTCATGACAGCACAGATTGAGCCCCTAACGAAGTGTTGGTCAATCTGAGAGGAGTGAGGAAAGTGGTTTCAGGTAGTGTTTTGGTAGGCGGCTGAAGAAGAAAGATCCCAGCCTTTAGAAATTTTTTTTTGGGTCTGTATCTTCTGCTGGGAGAAAGGGATGGGATCTGCCCACAGCACTGCACAGAACCTCTAAATGCCTGCATTCTGTTCTATGGAAACCTCCATGATGCAGTGTTACTGGATGGGGTTCCTGTGGGACTTCTTTCCAGGTCCTTGATGTCCTGAACAAAGAATTGGATAAGACACACAGAAAAGGTAGCGATGGTGTACATTTACTGAAGGTGGAAGTATACTGTAGAGGTTGAAAGCAGGTCTGTGCTGGTGAAAAGGTTCACAGCAGCCCTGAGGTTAAAGTGAAAGGGCTTTTTAATATCCAAGATACCTGGATTGACCTCCATCTCATGCAGATAAGGCATTGGGACAACTGTCTTAGCAAAAACTCACTTGGCCTCATGCCAGGTGTAAACTGTCCTACCAAAAATAGCACTTTGGTCTCTTGGTAGATGTAGATGAAGGATCAGAAACAGTGTCTTTTGATTGATTGTGTCCACATGTAAGTGAAGGATTGAGAACAGCATTTTCTGATTGGTCCTGTGAACAAATAAAGGATTGAAAATAGCATTTTTCTGATAGATCAACAGTGCTCAGAAGTTGACAGCATGACATCACTTTGGGTCCCATGTTCTGTGCGTGTCGGCTCTTTTTAGGAAACATCTCACTTAACTTGCTAGCCATGGGGGTTTATGACCTTTGACACATTTCCCCCAATTGGTTATCCAGTTTGCCCCAGCCCTAATCTACCTCAGCAGCCTTCTTGGAGCCATTACAGGTAACCTTGCAAGTGCCTAATCAGGGATTCAGTCATAATGGTGGGAAGCACTTGTTAATTCAACTTCAAGGCAACTTCTGGTTCTGTCCCTGCACTAGAACATTGCATGTCTAGTCTTATCACATGGACTGACTTTTCTTGCTCTGTGTGTGTGTGTGTGTGTGTGTGTGTGCGTGAGCATACTTCCCACCCAAGTCAGGGTCCTAACCGTTCCCCGAATCTGCTTTAAGATTGGACAAACACATGGCCTGTTTCTAGTATTGGATGGATGGAACAGTGATCATATTAGGCCCAGTTAAAATGAGTTTTTCCAGGGCCGGGGATTTAGCTCAGTGGTGCTGCTGCATGCCTCAAAAGCACAAGGTCCTGAGTTCGATCCCTGGTACCAAAAAAAGTTTTTCCACATTTACTCATTAGGATATCGAGGATAATAACAAATCAGAACATACCCCAAATGGAAAGAAGCAATCATGAAAGGAATTGAATTTAGAAAAATATGCTCCTTTTCATATGCAACTAAATTCAAGGTGTTCAGGGCTACACAGGGGTACAGAATTTGGATAGAATCACACCCTTTATGCTATGTTTCTCTCTGGAAGTGGTTACTGGCTGTTTCCAACTTGGCTAACTTTTTCCATGTGGTGTTCTTTCCCCTCCCTGCTTTATTTCCTTGTATTATTATTGATTTGAACTGCCTGTTGCTGAAATTCAAAGGTCCTTCAAGGTCAGAGAGGAACTCTGACTCATGTGTTTCATCTTCTTTGCCCTTGACTCCACCCTCAAGCTTAGGACTCTGCTTTCTAAGTTTTCCAATGCAAGTTTGTAAAAACAAAACGAAAAAGAACTTGGAAAAGAAAACTTGGATTTTTTTTTTGTCTGTGTCATTGATAATTACATGTTTATTTAGAACAATTATTCTCTTCTTTCTCTTTCATTTGATAGATAGTTATTGATAATTTATTATTTGGTGGGAACATGTTAGCTTTCATCAGATATTTTACTAATTTTGTCTCTGTGGTGAACATTCTTTTTTCTCTGACCTTTTACTGTTGGGTCTATGTTATTTAAAAGATCTCTTCAGATCTCTTCTCTTTCATATAAGCCTGAACTTAGAGATGACACTGGCTGTACTATTTGTAAATGAACTATTTTGTTTTTCCTTTGAGTTCTTTCTCTCATCCTAGCTGACATATTTCTTCCCTACTGGATATTGGTTCTTTATCCTGTACTTCCCTATTTTATTAAACTTTGAGCTGAATAAAAAGCCTGACAGTAGGCACATCAGAGGAGACGTAGCTATAAAATAGATCCATTGGAAGGAGCCTTGCTGGTCACCCAGTCCAAACATTTTTGACCTTTTTGGTGCCTTTTGACCAAGACTGACAAATTCTATTCTACCGAGAATGTTTTTAAGTGAATAAAATAAAGCATAAGGAAAGTAATTGTATTGCTATCAAAATACTTTTTAAACATTTCCAAATTTGTGGCATCAGTGATATGCACTGTTTTGATAATATGCTAAATAACA